ACTGAACATCCAGAGCAATAACCAAGGTGGGTCATGTGACTCGTCTGTTAGAGGGCGGAGCCTCGTGATGTCACACTGTTCATCTGTAACACAAAGTTCATTGATAATATTTTATCTGGAGGAAGGTTCATATGTCCGAGCAGCTCTCCTTCGAGCTCCCCCCACATTGTTTAGTGTATATCTTAGATCTTTAAACGTACCGTTTGGTGTTAGTTTAGCGTTTATATTAGTTTATATTCAGTTCAACCGTTATCTCTTCAGGTGAGTCTCATTGAGCCTCGAGGACTCTTTACAAGAGAGACCTGATTTTAACAAAGAGTGATGACAACGGTAGACAATCATAAAAGAAGGCATATAAATTGAAAAAACAATAAATGGAAGAAAATTACATAAAAAAAAACAGCTACATTATAAAGCGATATAAAATTTAAAAAAATGCAGAGAATCGATGTTGTCATTGTATGGGAACATACAAAGATGACATATAACACTTATACATTTGACTTGACTTTCATCAGTTATGAGTTTAGTAAGTTTGATGGTGAAAGAAAAAACTACTAATTTCCAGCAGTGTCGAACTGAACGTGAATGAAATGAGTCTAGTGTGTAAAGATGAAGACACACGTGAACATTGTGATGGATCTGAAGGATTGTTGCTCTTTGCAGACTCGGTGTGTGGCTCTTTAAAGAGCCATTGTGGGGTCTCCAGATCTTAGATCTTTATGTACCGTTTCTTTTTACACTTTATAGTTTGCTATTGTTGGATGTAACTGGGACCCTGTGTACACAGTTTCATTCCACCTCATGTACCACATGTGATGAGAATGACAATAAATCTACTTGAACTTGAACATTGTGGAGCTCCTCACCTCATCTCTAAGGCCTAGAGATGCCTAGAAGCACCCATGTGGTTCCTTAAGTCCTGCTCCAAGCCTCAGGTGAACGTCTGAACGCAGACAGACCAATACATTATAGATTTACCTGTCAGCTCATCTCCTTCATCACCAAAAGCTGGAGCAACGGCCTGATTACTGGAGAAGATGCATCCCCTCCCTAACGTGCCTCGAGACAAAGGCTCGGCCCGGAGGAGCCGGAGGAGCAGACCTCCTCCTCCAGAACGATCAGACATTCTCCTCTTTATGGAAACAGTTTTTTATTTATTTGAACAAACATTTTTAGGTTAATGTTTATTCTCTGAAGAACTTCTGGTGCTGCTCACTTGTAGAATCAAATATTAGTAAAGTTTTGAGCTTTCAGTTTTTCATCATTAATCTTTTAGTTTATTTGTTGAGATAAATGAAGCGTCTGGATTTTGTAGGAAAATAAAATATGTGCGTGTTTGTGTTGATCATCTTTAATGAAGCCATCTGTTCGACCAGCAGAGAGCAGCAGGGTCCATCTCCTGACATTAACGGCTCCCCCCTCTCCCCCATCAGAGTGCGTGTCCCCCCCCTCCTCCCTCCCCGTCGGTGTGTATGTGAGCTGTGCATGCTGCGTCCTGATGCTGGTGCTGTTCAGCTGCCTCCAGGTTTACACCAACCGCCTCCGACGGGCCATCGCTGCCGTCTACTACCCCAAGGTGCAAACACAATGTTCACCCATCAGCCACAACATTACGACCACTCACAGGTGGAAGCATGGGTTACCTGGTGGCTGCCAGGGGGTGGAGTCGAGCTGCAGGTGAACTTTTTGTACCTCAAATTGTTGGAAGCAGAAAATATGGTGAGTCAGGTCTGACGTTATTATATTTCCAACAATAAGACATTTTATCTGATCCTCACAGAGACGATAAAGAGTTTAAATCTCATCAAGCTGGAAGGAAAACTGTTTTTAACTCGCCTCTTATTGTTTAAATAATCAATAATAGTTCATTAAAGTCAGATCACAGCTTCTCTATGGCATCGTGATGCTGCTCAGTAATCCATCCATCCATTATCTTTACCCGCTTCTTCCATTTCGGGTCACGGGGGTCGCAGGTACCCATGTCCAGCAATCACTGTGCGAGAGGTGGGGTACACCCTGGACAGGTCTCCAGTCCATCACAGGGACACATAGAGACAAACGAGACAAACAACCATTCACTCTCTCTCTCACACCTAGGGACAATTTAGAGTTACCAATCAGTCTAACATGCATGTTTTTGGTCTGTGGGAGGAAACTGGAGTACCTGGAAAAAAACATACAGCACGGAGAGAACATGCAAACTCCACCCAGAAAGTCCCCCGGGCTGGGGTTTGAACCGGCAACCTTCTCGCTGAGAGGAAGCAGGTCTACCAGTTGTGCTACCATGCTGCTGGACGTAATCACAAAAAAAAAAAAGACTTGTAGAAACGTTTCGTCTCTCATCCTGAGGACTTCCTCAGTCTGAGTTGCTGTTTTCAGCTCAGTCTCTTAAATAGCACCTTCTCAGAGTGGATCAACCAGTTTGCTGCTGACAACCAGAACCAGCTGATCACATGCTCAAGAAGGACCATCAGCCTAACAATGGATCATTAGCACCTGATGGCTGTTTACTATTCACAGAGGGCTGAGTGATACTAGTAATCACAGCATTGTAAGAGGGGGACAGTTGAACCTGGAGGCTCCACCCCTGTTTAATGATGGACGATTTCTTTTCACAAAGATGGCCTCCTTTACTCCTCTCTCAAACCATTGTTCCTCTCTGTCCAGGATGTGAACATCTTCATCCCTGAAAGAGTGACCTCTGGCCTGGAGATGAGTGTAGACCTCAGAGTCCTGGCCTGATGATGTCGTTAGGTTGTTGGTCCTTCGTAATCGCGAACAGCTAGTTCTGGATGTCAACAACAAACTGGTTGATCCACGATGACAGTGATCCTCACTATTTTGTTTCAAAAGAGCCACAATGACAGATCAAAGTCAGGTGGAGAGCCGCGACATCACCCCAAGTCACTCAAATAAAATAAAACATTTGAACAACCCACCTATGAACCAAAAAAGAAACGGTCAACTCTGTTTAAATAAAATGTATCTTCGTACTGACATGAGAAGTTGTGCTGCATGTCCTGGACGTTCTTCATGTTGTCTTTTGTTGTTGCAGCCACAGTGAGACATTCAAGATGGACATGGGTCTGTGGGTTTCTCTGTTTTTGCTTCAAAGTGTTCATGGTTGAAAATGTTCACTCAGGTGAAACATTCAGCTTTTATTACCCCAGTCCCATGAAAACCAAAGTCCATGCTCAACAATGAATTTTATTATTATCAAGTTTTTTCATTTCTTTAAAACAAAACAATTCTATATACAATAAGAAACACAATCACAAATAAAATGAAAATGAATATGCTGTGATATGTGTATGGATGAAGATGCCCCCCTTCACATTTCCACCTGCCCCCTCATGTAACCATGTCTAGAACCGGCCCTGTAAGCCGCTCCTGCTTCCTTCACCGCAGATGACAGAAGGTGCAGAGACGTGCACGGTGATGATCCATCGGAGGTTAACAGGACTTTTTTTTTACCTCTACCAGCCGGTCGGACCTGCCTCCTCCTCAACAAGTAGATTAACACAATGTTAGTCATAAAACCGCATGAAAGAAGCCTGAGCCGACATGCGCAATTATTGCGCAATGTGCCAGCACGTTTTAAAAATGTACTGGCTGTGCTGGTGTGTTGTTGTAACCTGTCACAGAGCCACCAATAAAGCATGACGAGCCGCATGTGGCTCGGGAGCCGCACAATGAGTATACCTGTGCTATGAGAAGATTCTGTCTGTAAGACTGAGTTTGTTGCAGCTCCTCAGACTGAAGAAGTCTTTTGGATAAAAGACGAAACCTTTCTACAAGTTTTTAATTTAATTTAATTTTTTTAATCCGTCCAGAGGACCCGACTTAACTTTGTTAGATTCTCAACATGACCTTCCTGCAACAAGAATCCTGGAAAATGAACGATGCGAAAGTTGATAAAGCAGCGTTTATGTAAACTGTTGTAAGACCATAGGCGTCACAACCATTATATGTGAAGGGGACAAGTCCCCCCCACATTAAGAAAACGTTCATTTGGACCCCCCCCCACTTTTACTATGAAACATTAGTTCAGGCGGTGCAGTTTCTCTTTATTCGTGAACAAATCCATTCCACTTGATTAATAGGAGAATAATCAAGCCACTAAAACTCCACTCCAGGTTTTCCTGGTTACCTCCAGCTCTAAACACAGCAGCCTGTTGCCACGGTTACAATATACGGTGGTCACAGAATATGGTGCAACACCTGCAGTGTTTCTGTGCGTCTCCTCCTGCCTCGGCAGAAAACGCTCACAGGTGGAGGAGGTGGAGACACGTCTGTGTTACTCGTCAGTTTAGCAGCTTAGTGCGGGCAGTTGTTGACCGGGGGGGGAGGGGGGGGGTTGATCATCAACATATATTCATGTTAGGAGGATGTTTGAGAGGAGCTACGTCTGTAGCATGTTAGCTTTGCAGTAACTGTGACGCTGTGAGACTCTGCAGGTGTAAGAGACTCTGTGTGTTCAGGTGCATTAAAGGTGAAATGTGTTTAAACCCCCACACCTTATTGTCCTCAAGCTTCATGACAAACATCATTTAGATGAGCCGTGTTGAACACAAGTAAAGTCCAGTGGTGATGGTTTTTATTTCTCTATAAAGACAAATAGTGCCGACCTGACGCTCTGTGTTAAAGTGTATTAAAGTTAAAATGTCTTTAAAACCCACAGATGAATTTACACAAACTTGGTGAGAAACAAGTTTTAAATGTGAAATTAAAGGAAATCCAGATGAAATGTTGCTTTTTGTTCACTAGTGGACAGGTTCTTTTAACATGTGCGCACACACACCTGCACACATCATTGTGTCCCCCCCCCACATTACGGATGCTTCTGACGCCCGTGTGTAAGACGGACTTTGAAATAATTCTTTCAAACAAATCAGTCCTTTTAACACTTTTGATTTATTTGATAAATGTAGTTTATTAAAGAGTTGCTCACAGCTCAAAGCTCATTTCATGCCGTCCTGAGACACAAACAAACGTTACCGAAAACTGCATGAACACAAGAACGATGAGAAAAACAAGAGTAATACTTATAATCAAAGTTATTGTGCACACCCTGTTTCCCTCCTGTTAACACTCAGAATGACTAATGTCTGAGTGTGGCCAGTTTTATTTCTCTAATGGAGCAGATCACCTTAATTTATTAAATTAATGAAATATCTGCGTTTTTTATTTTTGTGTCTGTAGAAAATCTGATCAAATTCTGTCATAGTTTAAATTAATTTAAGATTTAAATTAATTTAATTTAAGACCTCTGTGTTTGTTTTAAATTAAAGTTCTTGGTCCTGGTTCTGGTGCTGCTTGATGGGTCGTCCACCGTATTCTGACCGTGTTGTTTAGATGATCAAACTCTGAGCAGCAGAGGAGACACGTGAACGATTGTTCTGAAGAGTAAAGTTTGTTATTTTGTATACAGTGAAGTATAATCTAGACTGAAACATAAACCTCAAGTCCAAACTGAGGTCGTTCACAAAGCCACCTGCAACAGGTAAGATATTAATTGTTCATAATGTTTACACAGAATAGTTGAATTATCCCTTTAACAGAGTTTGCAAACACACAACTCTTAGTTTTAGAGATGAACTTACTCTGTGATGTCACTTCCTCTCCTTAGCTGATGAAGGTGCAGCACACACACACACACACACACACACACACACACACACACACACAGATCTGTGTGAGCTGCAGTAAATCTGATTAATGTAAGAGGTTTCTAACAGTCGAGCTGAGGGCCGTTAACACTCAGACCTTCATCATCATCATCAGGTCTACCTGCTCACGAGCGAACAGGCACTGAGCTGCTGAACGTTGCCATGGAAACGGGTTTGAAATGCAACATGCTGTTGGTTCTGTTATCTGTCAACGACATAAAGGAAAAGCTTTAAGCTGCAGGTAACTCAGAACAGAACCATCCACAGCACCTGCTCCTCACCTGGAGGTCCAGGTGAAATTCAGGCTGAAGGTCAGCAGCCATGTTGGTTTCTGCTGCGGGGTCTCCACCTGTGTCTGATGGTGAGGCCTCCAGAGACACATAACTTTAGTAAACAGAGACTCGCAACATTCAGTGTGATCTTTTGATGTGCAGGAAGTGAAAACAGGAAGTGTTGACACCGATGGAGTAAATATTAATATCAGGTGTGATGAGTAACCACAGTTTATTCATCCATAACTCATCCATGTGTTTATACATAAATAAATCCATTAAACGTAAAGCTGCCCTTTAAGTTCTTTCATTCAGAAGCACCATCCAAGCTAACGTCCTGCATTGTTTATGTTTGTTTGTTGTTGTTTATTTGTTACTGATTGTGCAGGGGAGCAGATGAAACACATGACACAAGGATGGTTAAAGATGATGTTTAAATCAGATTAAAGCCACCACACAGCTGCAGGCTAACATCTGTCTGCTCTTCTGTCAGAGGGAGAAGAAGAGAGTTCTGTTTCTTTACAACCTGCTGCTCCACACGAGGATCCTGTCCTCGGACCGGAGGACGGTGAGCAGGCGAGGACAGAGGACGGTGAGCGTCTCCCCACACAAATCTGTCCCTTCTCATCTCAAAGATCTCAGATCTGCTCCGAGGATCGGTCAGGCCCAGCCCTGCTTCAGGGTTCATTTCCAAAGAGGAAGAGCAGAACCAGCAAAGCAGGATCTGCTTCTTGTTCAAGCTTTGGGAGCCATTTTAAAAAAACATCTTTAACAAATCTACTGTTTATCAAGGAGCACGGAGGACTTTATCTTCTTCAGCTCCTACAGTTCATCTTCCTCCGTTGGCTTTATTCTTCTCTGCTGTTTGTCTGCAGGTGTTCCAGCGTCTGAGCAGGTGGGGGCGTGGCCTCTTTCATCATCACAGACAGGAAGGGTCAGGCTTGGAGGAGACGCGTTACGCCTGCAGTTAGGAGGAGACAGGAAGCTCCGCCTGCGGCCCAAAGAAGACGTCCTGATCAGATAAAGTTTTACTAACTGATAAAAGTTTTGGTTGTTTATTCTGAAAAAAATCTGATTTTTCAAAGTAAAAACTGAATCTGTGAGCCAACGATTATCAGCTCCAACGACACAAATCTAGTTTCTGTTAACGTGCAGTGAGAATGATGAGCGCTGAACGATTTCTCTGAGGAAGCTGCAACTGAGTGTTAAAGCTAAAGGAAGCAAAAGATGAGCTAAAAGGTAAAAGTACCCGAAGAAGATGTCATTTTCCTGAAGCAGGTTTCAAAGAGAAGGCTTTTGAAAGCATTGTGCAGATCTCTGGGTTTCTACAGGAAAATATTTTAGAATAAAGTTAGTTATAAAAATATAGAAGTTATTAAAACAAACCCTCGTAGATCTCGTCTCCTGAATGAGCTCAAAATGTTAAACGGCTAAAAGTATGCAGAAATACTTGGACTGCAGACGGCGTACGGACAAATAAAAACAGGAAAAGTCTCACTCAGCGTTCAGACTGCTCCGATGAATCGTGCTGCAGCAAAAAGTTCCTCATCTTCATCAGTTTGAGCTTCTGAAGCTTGTCGAGTTAAAAAACTAACAAACAATGTGAGAAACAAAACGACTGAACTCAGAGCCTCATATTCTGCAGTGTGTGTGTGTGCATGTGAGTGTGTGTGTGTGTGCGCGTGTGTGTGTGTGCGCGTGTGTGTGTGTGCGCGTGAGTGATCACCTGACCTGATTACCTCCACACTGGATGTACAGATGAGTTCTCTAGCAGCTGATCAGCAGCACGTGCTGCGTTTGTTTCATTCAGCATTTTAATCTGATTCACGTTCACCGAACTGACCCCGGATCAGTTCAGTCCTCTGACCCGTAATCCTCCTGAAAGCACTAATTATTCTGCTGTCAGAACCAGAACCAACCTACAGGAGCTCAGATTTACTCCACATGGACTGGTCTGATGTATGTGCAAGAACAGTTCAGCTCAGCAGTTTTTTACCCGTTTGTTTGCGTCTCTGGTCTTTTTTCAGTTTTATTCATATAAAACTACGAATGTGGCGTCCAGAAACCTGAAACTCCTGCCATCAGTAATCTTTCATGGCTTTAGAAACGCAACAAATAAGTCTCTGTTTCAGCAAAGTAATTACAAATGAGCCAAACAACATCAGCAACCTAAACTTAGTTTGTTCTTACAGAGACATGAAGATGGGAAGAATAAATTTTAAACAACTGTTAAGTTCAGTGCAAAAATCAATGCAGACCTGTCCCAGTTTTTAGTCTTTTACACCGTTTTTATAATCTAGCATGTTTTTTAATTTTGTTTTATATCACTTCCTTTTTTTACTTTTCATTATATATGCTTTTATTTGATTGTTTTACTGCTGTGTGTACCTCATCTGTGGTTTTTCTTTAAAACGGGTCTCGAGGGGCCTGAGGTGGGGTAGAGGTAGAGCAGCCGACCTGGGACCAGAAAGTCGCGGTTCGACTCCCAGTCATTCCCACATGTCGTGATGTCTCTGAGCAAGACACCTAATCCCCAATTACTCCACTTAGAGAGCTGCCCACTGCTTCACCTGGGTGTATCTCATGTGCCATTGTATGGAACATACAATGATGACAATGTCAGACTTCCCTCCTTTCCCTCTTGAGAATGAGTCCTCGTGACTCACTGAGACTAACCTGTATAAATAACGGTTGAATGAAAAAAGATAAAACAGTTATCTATAAAACTTGACAATATTTAGTGTTAAAAACACTGATGCAGTAAGTCTACCACCTGTCAGACACCTAATGTGTTACCTTTGCTCCTGAATGAAAATGTGACCAAAGCAGTTCAGAAACCACCATGAAGGGCTTAAATCACCTGAGGATATTCCCTCTACCTCTGTCAACGTGTTCAAAGTAAAATAAACAAGTAAATAAACAACAGCAATTAGTCTGAGAGACTTTATTATAGAAATGATTGAATTCTAGTGTCCAGGATCAGAATCCCAGTCTGTTTAACAGATAATGTGACTGAAGCATAAAAAAAAAAAAAAAAAACAATTTTAAGCTTTACATATTCATAAATATATCTGTTCATCCCTCCATTATTTTCTGCTTGTTCTGAAGTCGGGTCTCGGAGGCAGGAGCTTGAGCAGGGCGGTCCAGACATCTCTTTCCACAGCCACCTCTTCCAGCTCTTCTGGGAGGACTCCAAGGTGTTCCAAGGCCAATTGAGAAACTTATTCTCTCCAGCGTGTCCTGGGTCTTCCCCGGGGTCTCCTCCCAGTTAGACATGCTCGAAGCACCTCCTTAGGGAGGCGTCCAGGAAGCAGATGCCTGAACCACCTCAACTGGCTCCTCTCGATGTGGAGGAGCAGTGGTTCTACTCTGAGTCTCTCCTGATAAGGGAGAGTCCAGCTACCCTGCAGAGGAAACTCATGTCAACCTCCTGGATCCACGATCTCATTCTTTCAGTCTCTACCCAGAGTTCATGACCAGAGGTGAAGGGAGGAACGTAGACCTACTGGTAAACAGAGAGTTTTGGATTACATCTCAGCTCCGTCTTCACCACAACGGACCTATACAGAATCCGAATACTGCAGATGCTGCACCAATCCGTCTCCATTCTTCTCTCACTCTTGAACAAAACCCCGAAATACTTGAACTCCTCCACTTGAGGCAGAAACTCACCCTCAACCCAAAGAGAACAATCCACCCTTTTCTGACTGAGGACCATGGCCTCAGATTTGGACGTGCTGATTCTCATCCCAGCTGCTTCACACTTAGCTGTGAACCGCTCCAGTGAGAGCTGAAGCTCACGGCACGATGACGCCAACAGGACCACATCATCTGCAAAGAGCAGAGATGAATCCTGAGGCCACAGAACCGGACTCCGTCCATGCCCTGGCTGCACCGAGAAATTCTGTTCAAAAAAGTTATGAACAGAATCAGTGACAACAGGCAGCCCTGGCGGAGTCCAACTCCCACGCTGAAGGGGTCCAACTTACTACTGGCAAAGCAAATGAACCTCTCGCACTGCTTGTTTAGAGACGGAACAGCCCGTAGCAACGGGCCCCCAATCCCATATTCATGGAGCAACCCCAACAGTGTACCCCGAGGAACATGGTTTAATGACTTTGTCTACAAAACACGTGTAGTCTGGATGGGCAAACTCCCATGACCCCTTGAGGTTCCTAGTGAGGGTAAAGAGCTGGTCCAGTGTTCCATGGCCAGGACAGAACCTGCATTGTTCCTCCTGGAGCTGAGGTTTGACCAGCGATCGGAATCATTTCTCCAGTACCCCTGAACAGACCTTACCAGGGAGGCTAAGGAGAGTGATGCCTCTGTAATCAGAGCACACCCTCTGGTCCCCATTTTTGAAGAGGGGAACCACCACCCCAGCCTACAAATCCAGTGGCACTGCCGCCAATGTCCACGCAATGCTGCAAAGGTGTGTCAATCAAAACATCACCACAACATCTAAATCAAATCTATCCCAGTGTGTGTAATCAGTGTGGATCTCATTCACCCACGGATCCCAGCCGCCACAGAGCTTTTTAACCACCTCGACGACCTCAGCCACGATTATGAACAGACCAACCCTGAAGTCCCCTGACTCAGCTTCCTCCATGGAAGACGTGTCGGTGGGATTGAGAAGGTCCGAGAAGTATTCCTTCCACCTCCCGACAACGTTACTAGTTGATGTCAACAGCACCCCACCTTCACTGAACACAATGTTAGTAAAGTGCTGCTTTCCCCTTCTCAGCCACCTGATGGTTTGCTAGAATCTCCTCAGAGCAGATTGAGAGTCTCTATCCAAGGTCTCACCAAACTCCTCCCTCATTCAAGCTTTTATCTCAGCAACAGCCAAGGCTGTGGACCACTTGGACCTCTGGTACTCCCCCTGAGTCCCATCAGCCAACAAGGCCTGATAGGACTCCTTCTTCAGTTTGACAGCCTTCCTAACCCGGGGTGTCCGTCACCAAGTTTGAGGATGGCCACCGTGAGAAGCACCAACAACATTGCAGCTACAACTCAAGGCAGCCACCTCAACAAGTGAGGCGCAGAACATGGCCCACTCTGACTCAATGTCCCCATCTCAGCTGGGTTATGGTTAAAGCTCTCCGGGAGGTTTGAGTTGAAGAACTTCCTGACAGATTCTTCTGCCAGGCGTTCCCAGCAAACCCTCACTACATGTTTGGGCCTACTAGGTCTGTCTGGCATCTTCCACTGCCATCTGATCCAATTCACTACCAGGTGTTGGATCAGTTCTCAGCTCAGCTCTGCACCCTAGTATCCAAAACAAATGGCTGCAAATCAGATGATATGACTACAGTTGAAGACGTCGATCTACGACCTATGGTATCCTGGTGCCAAGTGTACTTATGGACACCCTTATGTTCAAACATGGTGTTCATGATGGACAAACCATGACTAGCACAGAAGTCCAACAATGGAACACCACTCGGGTTCAGATCAGAGAGACTGTTCCTCTCAATCACACCCCTCCAGGTCATGCTGTCATTACCCATGTAGGCAGTGAAGTCCCCCAGCAGAATAAGGGAGTCCCCTATAAAGGACTCCAAGAAGGCCGGATACTCTGACCTGCCATTTGGCGTGTAGGCACAAACAACGTTCAGAGCCCGTTCTTCCACCCGAAGGTGCAGGGAATCTACCCTCTCATCTACTGGGGAAAACTCCAATACACAAGCACCAAGTCGGAGAGCTAAGAGTAGGCTCACTCTAGCTCAGTGCTTTTCACCATGGGCAACTCCAGCAAGGAATAAGGTCCAGCCCCTCTCAAGAAGATTGGTTCTAGAACCCATGCTGTTCGTCGAGGTGAGCCCAACTATCTATTTGGTACCTCTCTACCTCACAAGCTCAGACTCTTTCCCCGACATTCCATGTCCCAAGTGCCAGCTTTGGTAAGCCAGGGTCAGAGTGCCAAGGTCCCTTTCTTTGGACACTGCCCATGGTGTCATGTACTCGACTCTTAAGGCCCCTCCTGCAGGTGGTGGGTCCACAGGAAGTCAAACCCATGTTGCGCCTTTGGGCTGAGCCCGACCGAGCCCCATGAGTAGAGACCTGGTCACCAGCTGCTCACTGAGGAGCCCCTTCCCCCAAGCCTGGATCCAGGGTGGGGCCCCAGTAGCCATGTCTGGGCAGGGGATACTGAGCTGTTGTTCATATGAGTCTTCAGAAGACTCATAATTTTTTATATCTTGTGTGATTCCTTGTGTATGTTCCTTTGTACGGAAACTCTGGCACAACAATTTCCTGCGGGATCAACAAAGTTCTATCTTATCTTAAATATAATGTTCAGTTTTTAAAATCAAAGCATTTTGATAAAAAAAAATATTAAAACATGAAATCAGTACCCTTACCAAACTGAACATGCATCCATTATCTTTTACCCGCTTCTTCCAGTTTGGGTGACGGGGTCGCCGGTGCCCATGTCTAGCAATCACTGTGCGAGGGGCGGGGGACACCCTGGACAGGTCTCCAGTCCATCACAGGGACACATAGAGACAAACAACCATTCACTCTCTCACTCACACCTAGGGACAATTTAGAGTTACCAATCAGCCTAACATGCATGTTTTTCCAAACTGAACAGTACTATGTTATGGCAGACACCTCAGACTCCAGCCCTTTGGTCTCCAGAGGAGTTCCTGGTCCACTCAGTGACTGAAGGAGCCCAAACCATCAGCCATCCACCACCGTGCTAACAGTTGGGAGGAGCTGTTTCTGTACTATCCAGACTGCTATGGGTAAACATCTCCATTTTGGTCTCTTCTTTCCAAAATACATTGTCTCCAAATTCTCTGAATATCATATAAGGTTGTATTTACGTGGATCACGTGTACGTGTTGTATGTGACATTAAGGTTTAGAATTGTACTTTTCAACACGGCTGTAAATCATGTAGTAGCTTGTGGCTAACTACACTGACATTGATCATTTACGTTAAAGCCCGCTGTTAAAAACATCAACTGTTCCTCGTGTGCTATAAACTGTGAAATTGGTGCAATAAATTTTACAGCACGAGCTTTTATTTTGAAGACCAAGCTTCCGGTGTCATGTTCGCTCTTGTTCCGGTTAGCTTGACTCAGCGGGTTAATGTCCGGGTTACCTCCCGTTAAAACCCGAGTGGTCCCGTGCCCTCTCCGTTACCAGTAGCCTCCAGGACGGACAAATCGAACTTCCAAGTGTCCAGTCGGACCGTAAAGAACCGGACGGACCCCGTCCAACATTTGAACGGCAGCTTACGGAGCGCCGAGCTCCACACATTCCCCGGTGTGTCCCGCCGCGTTAACTGCTCTGATTAACGGTCACCGCGGCGGTTCCGACCCACGGGGTTTTATGTTTTATGTGGGGTTTACAGGGAAAAGAGGTACCATGGAGGCTCGGTGGAGCCCGTCCCGGGGCTCCGACACTGTGAGGTAACCGGAGCGCCTCACAAAGCAGCAACCTGTTGCTGGTTCCCGGTGACGCAGCGACGATGCGCGGTGCCGCCGGTCTGCCGCCTCCGCTGCTGCTGCTGCTGCTGCTGGGCGGCCGTGCTGCGTTCACGGGCTGCAGGGCCCTGAACGCAGCACGGGACGGAGGGCTTCTGCCTGCGGACGGACAGACGGACGAAGCTGGCCCAGGTACCGTTAACTCAAATTACTGCAGATTAAACTTTCAGCTTGTGTTGTTGTTTATGAGGGGAATAAAGTCACGTAGCTTTAAATGTTATGGTTTTATTAATGTATATTTGGTCTAAAAATGATTAATTTTTTTTATATTAAAGATGTGCATGGTTGTTTTTTTTTTAACTTTTAAAAGTAATTGTTTTGAAAAATAAATGTTGGTATTCACTGAAAGAAGCCCAAACACAGAATGGAGTTTCAGTTTGTAAACTTCTGATAATAAAAGTAATATTTCTAACCAGTCTGAAAACTTTCTTACTAAAATCTTTAAACCAGGAAGCAGTGATGTTTTTTATGGTTTACTGTATAAATGTTAAGTCAGTATTAGACTATAATCAATCTGTTTTTCTTTGTGCAAACCTTTGACTAGTTCAAACAGCAGAATGTTCATCTGTTTCGGCTGCCACTTGAGTTTAGAAGCTTTACCTTTTAAAATTCAAAAAGCGTTCAATACAAAAACAACTGGACTTTATTTGTAACAGAAGATGTTTCGAAACGTCTTCTGTTACAAATAAAGTCCAGTTGTTTTTGTATTGAACGCTTTTTGAATTCATCATGTCCTGGATGACTGAGAATCTTCACCAGCATACTTTTTAAAATATTTCACTTTACTCACATATAGACGTACTTTAAATCTCTCCCTTTAAACCTTGTTCTTCATATTCTGCTTAAGCTGCACGCTCCTTTTCTTTTTACTCTTACTTTAGTTTTAGCTATTATTCTGCTGCTTTTAGCTAACATTTAGCTTCTTTTAGCTAACCTACCTGCTTTTAGCTAACATTTAGCTTCTTTTAGCTAACCTACCTGCTTTTAGCTAACATTTAGCTTCTTTTAGCTAACCTACCTGCTTTTAGCTCACATTTAGCTTCTTTTAGCTAACCTACCTGCTTTTAGCTAACATTTAGCTTCTTTTAACCAAAATGTTGTTGTTTTTAGCTTTTCTACTTTTAGCTTACCCTTTGTTATCTTTAGCTGTTCTTTTGTTTTTTAAACTAGCCTTCAGCTCATTTGAGCTGTTCTTTGCAGGCGTGCACTGATTGCAGTTTTCTGGCCGATCACCAGTTTGTAAAACGCCCGACCTGATTTTGTTTTTATAATCAACACGGTCAGGTGTTATAAGGTCACCTTCAGTTTCTCCATCGTATTTTATTGAAAACGTACAACGTCCTAGAACCAATACGAACTGGTTTTAACTGGTCATGAGGTGGTGCTCTGAAATATAAATGAAGTTTAGACAATTGTTGTTAAAACTACAAAAACATCTGTAAAATCAGTTTCTCGTGCGAGTATCGTCCGATGGCTGATCTCCCAAAACTAAATGAGAGCCGATAAATGGGAGCCGATAAATGGGAGCCGATAAATGGGAGCCGATAAATGAGAGCCGATAAATGGGAGCCGATAAATGGGAGCCGATAAATCGGAGCCGATAAATGGGAGCCGATAAATGGGAGCGCTCCTGATTCTTTAGATACTGAACAAAGTGAAGTCGGGTCCTGTGGACGGTTTGTTTTTGTTGAAACGTTTCGTCTTTCAACCAAAAGACTTCATCGGTCCGAGGAGCTGCAACAAACTCGATCATATAAATTAATATGAATAAAATAATGTAAATGATAAATTTAAGCATATTCAGTTACTTTTGGTCAGTTTTTAGTGTTTTTAGTGTTTTTAGTATTTATTTATCTACATTAGTCTGTCCTGTGGTTACTTTTAGCGCTCGCTTCAGTCTCACTTTGTGTTTGAGCAGAACGGGGTTTAGTTTCTTTTGTTGCATCTAAACGAGAAGCGTAAATATCTGTGTAGTTTTATTTGATTCAGTGAGTTCTCTGTGTCCTCAGGCGTGGACAGACGAAGACGTCCCGTCCTGGAGAAGACCCGTCCCTTCATCCTGGTGGACGGACAGAGACGGAGCCTGGCTGAAGCTTTACAGGTCAGGACGAGTAAAGTAATTATATTTTAAAAGAATATAAATATGTTGGGATTAGCAGGATGGCTACTTTTTGGTTTTGTGCTGAACAATCAGCTAAAGATGTTTCCCTCGGACATGTTTTGCTCAGAAAACATTAAAATGGTGTTTTATGACGGATTGAGACGAACCCTGAAATTCAAACCAGCTCCTTCTGCAACACTGCAGCGGAAAAATACTTTGAGCTCTGATTTTTAGTACAAATTAAAAAGATGATGTTGATCGAATGAGGCTGCCGCCCGTTACCACGGTGACGGGAGGATTTTCAGCTGGTGATGGCTGACTGTGGCTCTGTCGGAGGTTCTGGTTCTGGTTTCTGTGTCGGGTTGAACACAGACCTCTTAACAAAAACAAATCCGCGGTCAGAGAATCGGCCCGGTTCTGTCGCTCGGACCTCAAACTGATGTGACCTAAATTCAAGCAGCTGAACTGGAATAAATAAGTTTATTTACTGGATTAAATGTCTTCAGATTAAACCAAATAAGTGGCTTTTGTTGGCTGAATAATGCTTAAATATTAAATTCTGGCACAAATGAAACTGCACATCAGCTCAGATTGTTCAGCTGAATAAGACTGGTGCTAATAAAACATTTTTGTTTGTATTATAAGCTATTATTGTTTTTTTAACTTTGGGATTTCAAAAGTAGAGTAAGAACAAGTTACAAATATTACATTTGCAAAAATAAATGAAAAAATAAGAAATTAGGTAGTTATTTTACAAATTTGTTAGGCTCAAAAACAATGTAAATACAGTTGTTCTTAATGAAATACAAACTGCTGATTAAATGGACATTTTAATGTGTTAAACCGTAGATTATTTTTATCTGACTGTTTTAGAGGAGAAGATTAAAGTGATAATAATGACTGAACTCCACCTGCAGCTCATTCCCCACGAAGAATCTTTGTTAGTTTTTATCACAAAGCCCGATGACGGACGGGCTGAATTTGGAAGAGTTTTCTTCTGCCGGGCGTCTCGGTTTCTTCCTGAGCCTCAGACCGACGGCAGAGAGGAAGGAAGCCGGAGAGTTTTCACCAACACCTTCCTGCAGGACCGCTGAGGTCTGACCGCAGCAGGACGGACACTTCCTGTGCGGCTGACAGAAACTCTTAGATCATTTCCTGTTGAAGCCCCCTTCTCTGACTCCACCCAGCTGGGAGGAAACTGGGAGTCCAGGAGGAGAAAGTGGGAGAGCCTGACAATCTGGACTCTGTTGGACTCAACAGTTCTTCGTCACTTTAATAACATCAACTGCGATCAGAAAATCAGACACTTATTTTCTTTGATGGATCTTTAGAGTCCAAAGTTCTGGTTCTTGTCCTGGTTTAAGGCGCTGAGACTAACTCTTAAATATTAACAAAATAAATTCCAGTGATATATTTTCTGTTATATGAAGAAGAATCCTTCTGAAGGAATATTAAACGGCCAGAGGAGACGAAAAACGTGCTTCAGCTCCAGATGGTTGTACCCAGTGTTGAGCACGGTGGTGGTAGCATCATGCTTCGGTGCTGTCTGCTTGCTCAAAGAAAGACAAGTCCAAAAAGAAAAATGTTGAAAGGATGACTCAGAATTGTAGGACAAAATTACACCTGAGACTCTTCCTCACCTGGTCTCCTCATCGTCAGAACGTCTCAAAGTGTTGGGAGGAACAGAAACAAACTGAACTAAGTTTTTTATCAACTATGAAGTGTTGCTTCACTGAAGATGTTTCCAAACTCGTCTCAGTGACTTAGTCTCTGTCCCATTAGCGGAGTGTCCCATTAAAAGACTGTCTCGTTTAAGACTGTCTCGTTGTCCAAGTGTCCCATTAAAAGACTGTCTCGTTTAAGACTGTCTCGTTGTCCAAGTGTCCCATTAAAAGACTGTCTCGTTAGGAGTGTCTCATTGGAAAATGTGTTGCATTGGCGGAGCGTCTCGGTGGCC